AGCACTGAGCCCAACAATGGTACATACGCACATAACAATTGGCCACGAACACATGCCATGCACATGCCTGCAATCGTTAATGCACTCTTGCACTCGTGCCATCACTATGCATATGCTCATGTTCATTTCTGCACACTTGCACACATGCCAACTTTCCATTTATTCACCGACCCGCGTAAAACGCATCAGGTCCGACCCGCGTAAAACGCATCAGGTCTATCAATTTTCGATTGATCTCCGGCCCGCGTAAAACGCATCAGGCTCATGACACAACCCGCGTAAAACGCATCAGGTTGGCCATCTTCCGGTAGTCCTGGCATCGTCCCGCGTAAAACGCATCAGGGCGATTTAGGTGATCACATGCTCATGTCATTCGTGCACACTCGCATAATGCACATGTTATGCCAATGCTCAATATGCACATTTATGGCCATAACGTCCACACTCAGCATCCATAATTTCCACATTGAGCACTCAATTTTAACTTGGCCACATACTCAATTAATGCCATAACATGCTCAATTCACAACTTAGCATGCCCAATGAACCAATTAATTCAAAACAGCCACAACACATAATTGGCACCCGAATTCATGTGATTAATCAATATAATTACGCACACTCAAGGCCCGCCATGCCCCTCAATTCTCGGCCACATCAAACACTCAACATGGCATCATACAATCAATCCCGAACCAAGCACCATTCGGCCAATACATGGACAACTCAAGGCACACACGGTAATTCACAATTAAGCCATAAATTAGCCGAATAAGGTCCAATTAAATCCACAATGGCCAGCCAATAATCAGTCCACTCTAGGCCACTAATCTACCTCCAATTCATCACATTAGGCTCCCAAAATTCACCACATAATCAGCCACTACACGGCCCACACAATGCACCCATATTAATCCACATATTATCCCAATTCAAGTTCGCAATGATCAGCCACTAATCAGCCCATTCTAGACCACCAAACCACATTTAAATTATCACACTAATCCATCAAAACAGCCACAAGGTCAGCCCTAATCATCCACCACTAATCAACCCCTAAAATACCCTAATTAACCCTTAAACCTATCTAGAAATGCATAATAGCCTAATTAAGGTTTAGGGTTTGTACTCACTTAATCTTCTAAGCTCCAAAGGTGGCCAGACAGGGAGGAAAACGAGTTGGGCGGTCACTGGCTTGCGGCGGAACCAGCGGCGGCGCTGGGGCTCTCACGGCGGCGGCGGCGAGGCTGGTGGCGTTTCGGCTGATCACGGCGGGGACGGGGGTGACAGTGATGGTGGTGGTGCCATGGGAAAGAGAGAGGAAAAAGGGCTGAGGTGGCGGTGGCTCGAGGCGAGACGGTCACGGACCGGCGGCGGCGGTGCTCGCACGCTGGTGCACGGCCAAGGGGGGCTGGTCCGTGGTAGTGGTGGTGACGACGAGAGAGGGAGAGAGAGAGAGAGAGAGACGGTCGGGTGGTGATGGTGAGGCGAGGCGGTGGTGCGGACGGGCGGCATGAGCGGCCTCGGCGAGCGGCGACCCGTGGCCGGCGGCGGTGGGCTGCTCCGGCGAAGCCTCACGTGGCCGGGGGAGAGAATGAGAGAAAATTGAGAGGGTGAGGGGGAGAGCTTCGGCTGATGAGGGAGAGAATGAGAGGAGAGAGAGAGAGAGAGATTGAGAGAGTTTTAGCAAAAATTGGTGAGTGGGGTGGTTGACCAAACCCACTAAAATTGTCTAATCTACCCACTCCACTCAAGACTAGATCTAATGGCCAATATTTGAATACCAATCTAATCAACCCACTTTCAATGGCCAAGATTCAATCTCACACAAAATATCCAAGGGCACTTTGGGGATTAGCAAAGGAGATGGGGGGCTGATTTGTCCTTGATTTTCGGCACCAATGGGCTGAATAAAACCAATTAAAATCTGCAAAAATTCGGAATTAACACTTAGGGCTTAGGGGAAAAACGGTAATTTTCCACTCCTGGTCCGAAATTTCATTTTTCCACCAACCCGATCCCAAATATAATTGGCCACACTAATACGACGTTGTTCTTGCAAAAATCGTCGCGTACGTCCGTGAAATTCGACACTTAAGTCCGGATTCAATTCCACGATCAATTTCGCTCAAATTACGATTTTAGCGTCTCTCGCTAACGGACGGCTGTTTAGGGGTTACGCGTATCGACTTAGGATTACTCGAGTCGTGACGGTCTCGATTTCCAAGAGAACGTAAGGATTTATCGCTAGTTCCGGGGGTCGCGATCGTTCGGAATAAGTTCGGGATTATTCGCCACGCGTACCCTCGGTTGTGCGGGATCACCCACGATCCGATCGTACGTCGTTGGCCAAACCAATTCCTTCACCTTCCTTGGATCGGCCCACATTGGCCCAAAATATTCCCTCGTCGTTTTTCGGAAATCGGAGCTCGATTCACGGTCGAGTTCTTGGGTCCACGTACCGTTTTCCTAGTTAGCCATTCCCTATTGGTTAGTATCCCGAGAATGATCAATTCTGGACGAGATTCACTAAAATGAAATGAGAAATACACATCTATTTCATTGATCCCGGAAGTGGGTCGAATTCAGGATGTTGCAGTGATGAACCTAGGGATGTCACACACCATAACCAATTCAGGATGACTTTGAACGGGAGATGCGATATTGCAAATATGTTTGCAATTATAGCAATCGATTAGTCAGATTGAAATTAAATTAAATGTGATTTTATTTTATTTTATTTTTAGTCATGAGCGTGCGTGCATATGATGCACACGCAAACCTAAAGTGGACACAAGTTAATGTGCCAAATGATCTTGCACTCTCAATTTTATAAAGTTAAATTAATTAAAAGTGTACAAAGTCAACATTTGTTGACCATGTGCAACACACGATCAGCTCCTTGCTGATCACGTGTGTTTTAATTTTAATTTTTTTTAAAAAATGGTGGTGCATGCACACGGTCAGTAGTTGACCGTGTGCATCACCCACGGTCAGCAACTGGGCATCACCCACGACCAGCAACCGTTGCTGGTTGTGTGCTATATGCATACATGATCAGCAACGGTTGCTGATCGTGTGAAGGGTGGCGATCAGCAACCGTTGCTGATTGCACTAATAAAGTGAGATCAGTAACGGTTGCTGAAGAGTGACGAAGAAAGAGTGCAAATAAGGGAATTATCACGTTTTCTCTCTTCCGACGCCGTAACTGAATTATTGAGAGTGCGGAGAATTGTCGCCACAAGATTACTAGCACAATTATATTGGTGATTACTTGCAAGTTCTTCCTTCCGTTCGTCGTGCAATTGGTGGTGTGTCTGAACTAGAGATCCGACGCTTGTGGGGCTCGAACTGAAGAAGATTCGAATCGAAATCGTTTTGGGCACGCTACGAAAGGTAATCCGTTTAACCCCTTATGATTTTTCGATTTTTGATTGAAACGCACGAATAACGCCTTTATGGATACATGTGTAGTTATATCTTTCCACCGCATTTATATTTAATTTTAACTATGCATGCTCTGTAGAAAACCAACAGTGGTATCAGAGCCAATCCTTAGGTGTTCTCATGCGTTTAATTGATTTTGGTTCACATATATTTTTGCGATCCAATGGCCAATTTATGTTTGTTGAGAGAATTGCTTGCTCTTAAGTGGCCTATAGAAGTTGATTAATTTATATGATAAATTTGATCAACTGAGCAAAAAATTGGAACTAAATCAATTTTGAATAAAAAATCCGTAGCTTGTTTTCTTTTGCATTTGTCTTCTGCAAAATGATTCACGACTATGAATCTAGAGGCGACAACGCTACCGTCACTTGGAATCACGCACGTGAAATTTGTTTCATCGGCTTTGATTTCTTGACGCGGCTTACGTTGCTCGGCCATGAATTTGATTCGATGCAGAATTTTATTTGTGCCTTCCAGAGCTCTAAATTTAGAATTTATGGCTTGCGAGGAAGGGTGGTGATGATGGAAAAACCCCAAATCAATATGATTGATGTATGGATGAATGTATGATATTCACAGGTATTTTTGGAGTTGTAATTATTAAATGGTGGTTGCGTCCTTCCTTTTATTTTTCATGTAATATAATTTTTAGTATAGTTTAGTATTATCAATTGTTGATGTAAACATTACACGAGGAGGAGCCATTAAGCCGGAGAGCTCTATGGGCCCGGTCCGTGAAGAGTTCAAGGATCCAAGAAGAAGTGAAGAGCATGTCTCTATTATTAAAACATTAAAATGGCTAAATGGAGCTCATTGGCTCGAGACCCATTAAGTCATAATTCCATGATCACCACATAGGATAGATATTTATGCATTTGATATCTATTTATTTATTCAGTTTTTATGCATGTTAAACCGGTTAATATACAAAGTAAGACTATTAATAACGACCCAAACCTCCTTATTAATTATATTAAGTCGAAACGGGTTTCGGACTCGTGGCATTCCATCGTCGTAGTTTGATCCAACATTATGGTGGTTAATTGACCGGCTATGGATACATAGGGGTCAATTGCTATTTATAATATTGGATCACTCCATTATGCATATGATGTTGTGGGGTTGGAGCCGAACGATTTCCAACAAATGTCAGGTGAGGGGATCGTTTGTGTTTTCAATACTTACATGAGATGATGGGCTAGACTTAACTATGATCATGATGTCAATAACTGTCAGGTGAGACTTTCATGGTCTAGAGGCCGAAGTTATGGTTGGGACTCATATATGATGCGTTGAACAAATTAGTTCACTCACTAAGTTCATAGAACACCAATAACTATCAAGTGAGGTGGGCTATGGGCTGGTGGGACTCCAATCCCCACTCGTAATCTTTACCCAACAAAGATTACCGTTTTCCCATTTTAAGGAGTATGCGATTCGAAAAATTTAGTGGGAGGCACTATTTCATTTAAAGGCCAAAATGAAATGGTTATTTTGAAAGACAATGGCTAACAATTTATTTTCTGCACAAATATATTATTACTCTGAAAATGGTGACCACAAACCCACTCGCTTCTATACTTGACAAGAATTGTTTGACTGGATCCAATTTCACTGATTGGGTGAGGAATTTGAGAATTGTTCTCAATTCGGAGAAAATCGGGTATGTGCTTGATCAAAAGATGCCAGACTCCTTTCCTGAGGGTGGGACCCAAGATGAGCGCGTCACTTATGATAAGTGGTGTGATGATGACTTAAAAGTTAGGTCATACATGCTTGCTTTAATGAATAATGAATTGCAGAAGAAGTATGAAACTATGGAAGATGCTAGGTTGATCATCTTGCACTTAAAATAATATTTTGATGAGAATGGTCGAACCTCTAGATATGAGATATCTAAGGCATTGTACCGTATGAGGATGGCTGAGGGATCATCGGTTAATGATCATGCTTTGAAGATGATTTGGCACATAGAAGAGTTGGCTAGGTTTAATCTTATTATGGATAATGAGTTAGCTGTGGATTTGATCCTCTAATCTTTGCCCGATTCCTTCTCTGGCTTTGTCCAAAACTTCCACATGCATAAGATGGAGAAAACTCTTGCTGAGTTACATAGCATGTTGGTAGTTTATGAGAAGGAAATGTACAACACGAGACCCAATGTGGTGGCTATGGCTAAGGCTTCTTCTTCAAAGAGTAAGACTGTTTTGAAGAAAAAGAAATGGAAGAGGCCTATAAAACATGCTGTGCAATCAAAGCCCAATGATGAAAAAGTGAATTGTCATTATTGTGGTGTCAAAGGGCACTGGAGGAGGAACTGCAAGAAGTATCTCGCGAGCTTGAAGGTCAAGCCTAAGGACCAACCTTGCGAAGGTATGGTGTCTATGCTTATTGAAACTAATCTTATGGTTAGTGCTGAATCCAACTTATGGGTTCTAGATTCTGCTGCAACCTCACATATTTGTATGTCTTTGCAGAATCTGAAAATAAGCAAGATGCTGGGGCAAAATGAAATTGTCCTAACATTTGCAAATGGAGCAAGAGTTGCTGCGTTAGCTGTAGAGACTTTTCGTTTATGTTTGCCTTCTAGACATGTATTGGTATTGAAAAATTGCTTGCATTATGAGAATGCTATTAGGAACATCATCTCTATACCTCGTTTGAGTAAAGAGAATTATGAATTTTCTTTTGCTAATGATGTATGCTCTATTTATCATAATAGGAGATGTGTTGGTTCTGGCTTATTAACCAATAATCTTTATACCATTACAATTTCCGGTAATGCGATTACCAATACCAATAAGCAATACAATAATGATATAAATGCCATAACTAATAAACGCCCTAGAGATAGTCCAAACCCAAAGTATGTTTGGCATCTCCTGTTAGGTCATATTGGAGAAGATAGAATCAACAAGTTGAGTAATGATGGGTATATTGATCCATCAATATTTGAGCCGTACTTGGCTTGTGAGGCATGTCTTCTAGGAAAAATAACCAAAGCGCCTTTTGTGGGACATAGTGCGCAAGCTGCTGACATACTGGGATTGATACATACAGATGTATGTAGACCAATTAATGAAAATGCTAGAGGTGGCTATTCTTACTTCATTACCTTCACTGATGATCAGTCACGGTATGGTTATTTGTACTTAATGAAGAATAAATCCGAATCTTTTGAAAAGTTCAAGGAATTCAGGGCTGAAATTGAGAAACAAACAGGAAAATGCATTAAGGCTCTTTGATCTGATTGAGGAGGTGAATACCTTAGTACTGAATTCCTAGACTATCTTAAAGATAATGGCATTGTATCACAGTGGACACCTCTTGGAACTCCAGAACACAATGGTGTATCTGAAAGAAGAAATTGCACTTTATTAGATATGGTGCGATCTATGATGAGTTACATCGATTTGCCTATATCCCTTTGGGGATATGCCATTGAGACAGCTGCATATGTACTGAACAGAGTACCATCCAAATCTGTTCCAACTACGCCTTATGAGATATGGCATAGTAGGAAACCAAGTCTTAATCATATTAAGATTTGGGGTTGTCCAGCTTTCGTCAAGAAGCTGAAAATGGAAAAATTGGAAGCTAGGTCTGAACAAGGTCGCTTCATTGGATATCCAAAGGAGTCTCTTGGATACTATTTCTATTTTCACTCTGACCTAAGAATTTCGGTCAGCAGGCATGCTTCTTTTCTGGAGCATCAGTTCGTCCAGAAAGGTGGTGCTGGGCGGAAAATAGTCTTACAAGAAGAGAACAATGAATTATCAAACAACCAAGTTCAGACACCGATCTCTGATTCAGTAGGAGCTTCCGATACACAACCTCTTAGGAGAAGCGCGAGAACGTCTCATCCACTTGCTCGTTATAGACACTTGGTTGAACATATTGAACCATTATTCATTGTGAATGATGGTGATCAACCTGGTGATCCAAACACCTATGAGGAGGCGATGTCGGACATTGATTCTGGTAAATAGCTAGAAGCCATTAAATCCGAAATGGATTCAATGTATTCCAACGAAGTTTGGACCTTAGTTGACCCGCCTAATGGTATTGTACCAATTGGCTGTAAATGGATCTTCAAGAGGAAGATGAATGCTGAGGGTTAAGTTGGAACTTACAAAGCACGGCTTGTGGCGAAAGGATATCGTCAAAAAGAAGGAATCGATTATGATGAAACTTTCTCACCTGTGGCCATGCTAAAATCCATTTGGATTATGTTGGCTATAGCTGCACACCTAGATTATGAAATATTCCAAATGGATGTCAAAACGGCTTTTCTAAATGATTTTCTTGAGGAGGACATCTATATGGAACAACCACGGGGTTTTGAATCCAATAGTGAAAGTAGGAAGGTGTGTAGACTTAAGAGATCCATTTATGGACTCAAACAAGCCTCCAGAAGTTGGAATATCCGTTTTGATGAAGTAGTCAAATCGTTTGGCTGCATCAAAAACCCGGATGAACCTTGTGTATACAAGAAGGTCAGTGGGAATGCAATTACATTTCTAGTTTTGTACGTCGATGATATAGTTTTGATTGGGAACGATGTACCGATGATATCATCGATCAAACTATTTTTGTCACAGAAATTCTCCATGAAAGATTTAGGAGAGGCAACCTATATTATAGGTATCAAGATCTATAGAGATAGATCGAGACGATTGATTGGCCTTTCACAGTCTACGTACATAAACAAAGTGTTAGCACGTTTTAATATGCAATGTTCCAAAAGAGGATTATTGCCTTTTAGGCCCGGAATCCATCTTTCCAAGGAGATGTGTCCCAACACTCCTGAAGAAAGAGAGCGGATGGCAAAGATACCTTACGCATCCGCTATTGGAAGCATAATGTATGCTATGCTATGTACGAGACCTGATATTGCACATGCTGTAAGCACTACTAGCAGATATCAGTCTGATCAAGGGGAAGAGCACTGGATAGCAGTCAAGAATATCCTTAAGTACTTGCGAAGGACTAAGGATTTATTCTTGATATATGGAGAAGGAGAGTTTAAAGTTGAAGCTTATACTGATTCCGATTTTCAATCGGATCCTAATGATTGTAAGTCTACATCTGGGTTTGTCTTTACACTCAATGGTGGCGTAGTTAGTTGGAAGAGTTCCAAACAAAGCATAACTGATGATTCCACCACTGAGGCAGAGTATGTAGCCGCTTCTGAAGCAGCAAAGGAAGCCGCTTGGATGAAGAAGTTCATTTCTGAACTTGGAGTCATTCCTTCCATTGAACAACCAATTACATTGTTTTGTGATAACAATGGCGTAATAGCTCAAGCGAAGAAACCAAGGTCTCACCAGAAGTTCAAGCACATTGAGAGACGCTTCCATCTCATTAGAGAAATTGTTAGGAGAGGTGATATCGCCTTGCAGAAAATTACGTCAACGGAAAACGTGGCAGATCCCTTCACTAAGGCCTTGCCTCAGTCTTCTTTTGAAAGACATATTGATAAGATGGGTTTGAGGTACCAGACAAATTGGCTTTAGTGCAAGTGGGAGACTGTTAGATGTATGCCCTAAAGTCACCATGTAATAGTTACATGGTAGGGATTTAAGTTGTATTTTCAATTCATTATTTATTTAATGGCAATGACGTATTTATTTATTTGTCCAATTATTTAAATATATGAATGATTCCATAAGATCATTTGTGACTAGACCTATTCTTAAGATGTTGAGAATATGTGTGACAGGTTTATAGTTAGACTGAATCTTTAAATTGTTCCCGGTCGATGGATCATTGAGTGGATATTAATGATCCTGTTGAGACCGGTGTATTTTATCATATTGACAAAATAGTCAAGCTCTGTCCTTGCCAGCACATCAAATAGTTTGATGCAAGAATCGAAATGCATATGAAACATTTAAACTTATGAGGTCGACCTGCTTTATGTGCAAGACTTAGTTTAACAATTCAATTGGTTTGAGGTGCATGCATTATTGTCCACTAAATTCTTGTTTGTTCATAGAGTTTAGGGCAAATTCAGTCACGAAAGCAACCTTCATGTCATGCTCGTGCGTTCAATTATTTATCAAAACTTGTTCAAAAAGCTCAAAAAAGATAGATAAAAAATAAATAAAGATTAACATTTTGCTCTAGTGATATTGCGACATAAGCGTGTCACGCGTGTTTATACTGTCTTGATTTCCAATAATGTTAGAGATTCTCTCAACTGAGGTAATTTGTGGATGTATGCGGTTTACCTTATTGAGAAACTCCAGGAAAAGTGTTAGTAAAATTCTAAACCTTTTGTATTGGTGCCAATTTAGTCTTAAACATTTTTTTTGATGTCAATTGAGTTTTAAACCTTTTGTCTTTGTGCCAATTCAGTCCTTTCAACTAATTTTGCCAGGATTTGCTGACGTAGATGCCGACCAACCTATATGGCACTGCCGACGCTGGCGTGGACAATTTTTAATAATATTTTAATAATTTTTTGATTTTTAAAATATTTTTTTTGATTTTTTTTCCTTTTTTTCTTTTTTTTTTTCATTTCCTTTCTTCTTTTACCTTTGGCTAGTGATTGGCTGCCTAGCCTCGCCCAAGCGAGGCCACCGTTGCCTGCCACAGGCGAGGCCTGGCCAACCCTCGCTCGGGGAAGGGCGACCTCACTAGATTTGGCCAGGGGAGCTCTCGCTAGGGCTTGCCTTTGCCTAGGCGAGGGTCGGCCTCGCCTAGGCCAAATCTGGAGAGGTCAGCTCTCGCCTAGGCCAAGGCGATCTCGCCAAATTTGGCCTGGGCAAGGCCGAACCTTGCTGGGCCTTGCCTGCCCTCGCTGGGGCTCGCCCTTTCCGAAGCTTGCCCTCACCCAAGCGAGGGTCCATCGAGCCTTGCCTGTGGCGGGCGATAGCGGCCTTGCCAGGCAACCGGCCATGGTCAGTGGCCGGCCAGCCACCAATCAAAGGTAGAAGAAGAAACGAAAAGACAAAAAGAAAAGAAGGAAAAAAAGAAAAAAACAAAAAACAATAAAAAATTGAAAAAATATTAAAATATTATTAAAAATTAT